CTGGCTGGCAAAGACCCTGGAGAAGCCAGCCCAGGAACCCCTCCTTCTCTCTGTGACCTCGCCCTTGTCTCACCAGGACACCATTTTCAACAAGCCAACTAAAGTGTAGCAACTTCGGGAGTTTACAACACAGAAAACTCAAAAATTGCAAAAGGAAATTTCTGACTGTATTCTCCATAAGTATGCCCCACCCAATATGAGCTTAAGTTGAACACCCAGGCTTGCTAAATCTGGAAAATTAATGAAAACTAAACTCAGTAGGAAAATGCAGTCAGACACTGTAAACAAGCAGATTTTATACAGAATGGAAACCATGCAGAAAACAGCTGTGGCCACTGCACGGAAGTCCTCAGGCGTCGGGGGCTAGGGCTATTCCTGGAAAAAGAAAGTATCCTACCTGATCAGATCTGGCTCAGCACCCTCATTCTTAAACGATGCCAGGAGCAGGCGCTCTCGGGTGACAAGGTCATCCAGCAGGTTCTGTCTTCGATCCCCCTCCAGTTGTGTTCTGCAGATGGTTGTTAAGGTCCAACAGTGGGTGGCTTAGCTCATTTTCCCTATGACTTTATTAACTCTTCCAGTCCCCCGCAGCCACTACAGGCTCCACCCACAACCACCCGGAAGAGGCAGTTTTCTTATCCTGACTTCCATCCTTCAGGTAAGGACTGTACCGCTGCAGATGGATGCATAAACACTGACACAGATCGCTATGTGAGTCCTTTCACTGAAAAGTACATGAGATAAAGCTTCACTTTTTCTTTTTTACAGGGAGCAGTCAACCAGGGACAGGGCGGTCAGTCTGGCTGCAGGAGTTCTCAGGCTTAAGCTACAGGTGTTAGCTCTCAGATGTTTGCATACTCATCAGTACCCTAAGATGGGGCAGGGATAGGCTTGCCTAGTAGGAATGAGGCCTCACTGTCGGATCCTAGCAGTGCATAAATAAACCAAAACACCCTCCCCAAGGAGCCTAGGGCTTGGAAAGAGGAAGGGGTCTCCACCATATATAATAGCTCTGAGGGAGGTTTCAGGAAGGCTGCTTTGATGCAACTGTGTCCTGTAAAAGCTGTTTCTGTCAGCTCATTAGTTAAAAGTATTATGGATCTTTCTGGGAAACTACAAACGAGTTGTACTTGACGAGTTATGCTAGTAAATGTGGCAGATTAGGGGTGTGGAGGGCAGAACCACTGCTCCTTTATTGCTCTCTCTCTCTCTCTCTCTCTCTCTCTCTCTCTCTCTCTCTCTCTCTGTGTGTGTGTGTGTGTGTGTGTGTGTGTGTGTGTGTGTCTTGTGTGGGATGGGGGAAAGAGGTGTTCAAGTTACAGTGTATGTAAAGGTCAGAGGACAACTTTGTGGGGTTGGCTCTCTCCTCCACCAATACATGGATTCCAGGGATCCAACTCATGTCTCCAGGCAAGCATGACAAGTGCTTTATTCACCAAGGTAATCACTGGCCATGATTGTTCTTTATATGTAACTCAAGATTATTTATATCCTTTGGTAGGTTTTTGGCACTGGGACTTGAACCCAGATTTACTGCTGAGCCATATCCTCAGCCCCTAAATCCAAAGTTCCTTTGTGTTTGTCTTTCTGCAACAGAGTTTACTGTGTAGCCCAAGCTACATAGTAAGTTTATATGCTAGATTTCTGGAAACAAAATATCAGATGCTGAGTTTCATTTCTGTGTGTTCTCAGAACTGCTTGCCCGTCAAGCCTGGAGTTTGATTTCCCAGCATCTCACAGAAAATTAAGCCTGGCATACCTGTAACTCCAGCACTGGTAGGAAGTGGGAGTGAAGACAGGCAGATCCCAGGAACTCTCTAGCCAGCCAGTCTAGGCAAATTCAAGAACTTGGGGTTCACTGAGAGGCCTCTCTCAAAAGAATAAAGGCCTCCACATCCATGTGTGTGTATATACACACACACAAAAAGAAAAAAAAAAGTAAAAGAAACATGGAAGAAAACTCCATCACAGGTCAGGGTACAGGAAGTTTACAGTTTTGAAAGGATCTCTCTGACCTCTCAGATACAAAAGGAAAACAAGCCATTTCAAATCTGTTGTATCTGGCTTTCATTTTTTTTTTTTTAAACCAAATGGCTCTGTTTCATCAGATCTGAAGGGCTGGCAATATGAATCAGGGCTGGCCACTGATACCAATGCTAGCAACAATAGTAAACACGAGAGACGGCTGCTTCTGATTACAGATTCTCTTCTTAAAAAAAAAAAAAAAAAAAAAAAAAAAGGTGGGGATCACAAAGGGCTAGCAAGATGGTTCAACAGGGAAGGGTGCTTACTACCAAGCCTGAGGACCTGAGTTTGATTCCTGGTACCCATATGGAAGAAGAAGAGGACTGACTCCTTCAAGGCCTCTAAGTGCCACATATGCACCATGCACACCATGGTATGAGTGTGCCCACACAGACATATAACACATACACGAATAAATAAATGGAATAAAAAAATCTAAAGGGGTTACAAAAGATTTTGTTCAGGCCCCAAGTTTCTGAGAACTTGACAAAACCAAGGATTAGAATCACTATTGCCTCAGAGGGAAATGCACGACTCAGGGATCTACAAGTTCTGCTGTTAATTTTGTACAGAAAAGTGCTGGCTAGCTAATAGGAACAGTAAACAAATCCAGGCCAAAAAAAAAAAAAAAAATCTCCTTCAGTAACATAGTTATTAGAAAAATCATAAATCTTCCAACCTAAGTCTTTGAGCCATAGTCATTCTACATTTTAAAAAATAATAATAATAAATGAATTCTCTCAACATTCCTGCATTCCACACTTCCCTGGGTCAAATCACTACCGTTACTTTTCCATTTTCCGCTGACGGCAGTGGCAGTCACCAAGTACCCCATCTTGGAAATCATGAAGTAGCAACTGTCACTAAGAAACAAAAACCTCAAATATTCCTCTTCTTTAATAAAAAGGCTAATATTAACCTTTCAATCGGTGCCAATGAAGAACAAGTATCTATGTCTTTCAAATTATTGATAAGCTGCCAATAAAGCAGAAAGCTTTTATTCAATTTAAACAAAGTTCCTTGTGTGACAGGGCAGGGAGAACACAGACGCTGGGACAAGAATTATAAAGAACAAGACAAAATGGAAATTCTAAATTGTGGGGCTATTGGTTATGCTCCTATATCAGCTAGCCTTGCCTACATGCTCTGCTCAACTACCCTGTCAACCTTTCATTTTGTAGACGGTTTAGTACCCAACCACCCAAGCAAACATACACTGGACATAAGCTGAACAAAAATCCAGTGCTAAAATTATGCACAAACTCAAATGGTTCTGGAACTTAAACATTAAAAGAGAAAATTTTATAAGCATTATTAGAATACATAGAACATTTTAATAATCTTGAGTGAGAAAAAATCTTTTCAGGAAAGAATGAAAATGTACAGATATTGAAGAAAAACCTAGAAGCTGTGACTACATGAAGAGTGTGTGTGCGTGGGGGAGGGGGAATGTATACCTGCATGAACAGTTCATGGGCACAAGGAAACCAGAAGTCTGCATTGGGTGCCTTCCTCCATTGCATTCCACTTTGTTTTTGAGACAGGGCCTCTCGCTGAACTCAGAGCTCGCTGACTGACTAAAAAGGGCCAGGTTTTTACTCAAGGATTGGGGGACCGAACTCAAGTCCCCAAGCTTGCACAGCAAGCACTTTATCCACTGAGCCATCTCCCCGGTCCAATTATATAAAAGTTGAAGTCTCTGCAAAATAAAATTACTCATGACAATAAGTAGACAAGGGACATAATACAATAAAGAAAGGGGGCACCAAACCCTCTTGTGGAAAGGCAGCTGCATGTGAGTAAAAGAAACACAAACTCTAAGACCTACCTTGACCTACCAGATTAGGAAACAGACAAGAGGTCTGCAAAGGACCCAGGCACCTAGCACTTGCCTACATTCCTGAAGGAAATGTAAACAAGGTTAACCAACTGCCAGGCTGCCTTCTACAAACCTAAAGACACATTCCCAACAGATCCACTCATAAATGCAAATTCATGGACTTGAGAGCACAGAAGTTCACTGCAAAATTATTTAGACAAATGCTGGAAGTGCCCTAAATATCCACCAGTAAGGAACTAAGGCATCTATGCAATGATTTCGTGCTGAGAAAGGGAAGCTGCCATGGAGTGATACTGCTGGTAACTGATAATTCTAGGTGCTTCCAAGGGCACATGGAAATTATTTTACATGGAATAAGCTCCAAAATGCACAGTACTCAACCAAAATGGAGGGACAGGAGAAGCAGCAGCAAGCTAACCAGGGCTCGTGAAGACCAGGCAGAAGGGTGAGTGTATGAGTGTGTGACAGTGTCAGATATGTATTTGCACAAAAAAATCTTACAGAGGCCTGAAAAAAAAAAAAGTCCCTAAGGAAAGAGAACTGGCAACTCAAGATGTAAGGAGGAGGACTGGATGACATTTTGAATTGTTACTGGCTTTTTCTTTTATCTGTGTGCATGTGCACGACCATGGCATATGTAGTAAAAAGAAACAAAAGATCCAGGAACACATTACAACGTAGTCCCATTACTACTTGAAGAATTTCATATTCATTTTTAATTAAATATATATATATGAATATATATATACATGAACTGGCAACTCAAGATGTAAGGAGGAGGACTGGATGACATTTTGAATTGTTACTGGCTTTTTCTTTTATCTGTGTGCATGTGCACGACCATGGCATATGTAGTAAAAAGAAACAAAAGATCCAGGAACACATTACAACGTAGTCCCATTACTACTTGAAGAATTTCATATTCATTTTTAATTAAATATATATATATATGAATATATATATACATGTGTATGTATGTATGTATGTATGTATGTATGTATGCATGCATGTATGTATGTATGCATTTCCTACAAGTCTGGGATGAGAAACTCCAACCATTCACATTGTTTGTGTTGAAGAATGAGATGGGTCAGGATGGCATTATGGGAGACAAAAGAGTTCTTAGAAAAAAATGTATTAGTAGAAAATATTTTTAAAGATTTATTTATTTTATACATATGGTTCTCTATCTGCATATACACCTGCATGCTAGAACAAGGACCAGATCCCATTATAGACAGCTGCAAGTCACCATGTGGTTACTGGGAATTGAACTCAGGACCTCTGGAAGAGCTGCCAATGATCTTAACCACCGAGCCATCTCTCCAGCCCCCAGAAAATGTTTTTATAATAATAACAACAACAAAACCTCTAAAGGTATATCCTGAAATATAACAGACACAAGTTACAGATTTAAAGTAATGCTCAGAATGCGCCATGGAGACCAATGTGGAAGACAGCATGAGCTGGTGACTGGATCTGCAAAGCAGTAGTGACGCTACAGGAATCATACGGATCCCCTAGGCCAGTTCACATTGTTACCGTAACTGGAAAATGAGAGCCACACAAACGATCTAAGCTAAAGCCCATCTCTTTCTGCTCTATGCCAGGGCTTCCTCCTCTGTACTTTCTGGACCCTAAAC